AGAGTCAGTCTTTTGTACCACACAGGTGTATGGTGGATTCCTGGGGTTCCAGGACTACAATTCACACACATAATAGATTCTCACATGGCCAGGAAGCTCCTGTTCCTCCAACTTGAGGAAAACAACCAAATCATATAGACTATTAAGGAACATTCTTACAACCACCAATCTGACAATTACTCTTTCCACATGTCCAGCACCATGCTAGGTTATGGAAGATAAAGGATGACAAGGTTTCCTGCCCTTTACAGTGAAGATGAGGTGGCTTAGGGCAGACATTTGTAGGATGCTTGCTTATTAGTTTACAAAGCACATTCATCCCTACTTTGTTATCATCCTACCCTTCATAATGAGATAAAAGTGAGGCTTAAGATGACTAAATAACTTGCCCAGAGCTATACAGCAAGTAGCAGAGGCAGGACTAGAAGCTAGGTCTTCTGATTACTGATGGACTCATCATTACCACTAGGCAGTCCTCATGTCTAGAAAAATCTTTATTAAAAAGCACACAGGGAAGGCAGAAGAAGTCCTTATTCCTTACCTAGAGCTAAAGACAGTATCTTAATATGAAAGTAAGAAAAAGAATACTAGCTGGAGATTGGTGGGAATGGTTGGGCATCCTCTCTTGGTAAGCAAACACTTTGACTGAAGACCAAGGCCACCAGATAAGAACTCAGAAGGGTTCATGAATGTCCAGGAAGACTCACCAAGGGTGGTGTGAGGTGTCTGCAGGGCTTTTCTGTGCACTGGAGGTGGGCCAAGAGCACCTGTCTTTGTTCTCTAATAGCAACTCTTGAGTAGCAAAGTCACAACTCACCGAGGCACAAGCCTCAGTGCAATGATGACGTTTGTGACCATAAAGAACCAAGGGTAGCTTTAGGACACAGGGGCACAGGGGGATGCCACAGTTTTCAGTAGGAGCTAGGGGGCCAAATGAGTTCTAAGTGCAAAATATCTTGAACAACCAATAACGAAAGCAGAAAGAATCCAAGATTTAGACAAAAGCCTAAGCATACTGCTCCTATAAAATGGAAAAGGACCTTGTTAATTCTTCCCTGGACTGAACTAAGATAACTTCCACCCACAGGTCTAGGTTCCACCTCTGGAGCAACAAAGAAGCAGAGACCCACCCTCTTTCCCACGGCCAGCCATGCTTGAATTATTGGATGACAGCTCTCATGTGTCTTTTCTCTCTCAACTTCTCCCCCGTACTTAAATCTAAGTTTCTTCAATTTTCCTTCAAATGAAATGGGTCACATGATACTGGTTATCTCCTCTGGGCCCCAGCTCATTCCAGAACATTTTAGAATGCTGTGTTCAGAACTTAATACATTACTCACACACTATTCATGACAGGTGTGGTCTGAATAGCTTTGAATACAATGGGACTATTACTCCCTTTGATCTGTACATTGTACTTTCATTAATGCAGTCCATGGTCACACTGGCTATTTTGGTAGCTGTCACACTGTTGTGTTTACAGTCAAATAAAAACTCCAGAACTTTTATGGGCAGTTCTAGATCTTATCTTCTAAGATACAGAGTTGACTGAGGAAGAAGAATACACATCTCAATGTGAAAATGCAACAGAAAACCAAAACCAAACCAAACCCACTGCCATCAAGGTGATTCTGACTCACAGAGACCTCTAGGACAGAGTAGAACTGCTGTAAATCTTTTTCCTACGGAGTTCCAACCACCAACCTTTTGGTTGGCAGCCGAATGTTTTAACCACTGAGTCATCAGATAATGCAATGCAGTCTTCCTCAAATATAGCTGAGGAAACAACAAGCTACTGTTACTCTGTGCTCTATCACTACCCATAGTGGGTATGTACTGGGATGGGAAGAACGAGAAGATAGAGGAAAGGACAAAGGATCAAATTTTGGGGAGAAGATTCTAAGAAACCAAACCACTGCTCCCTCACTCTTTTCAATGACGTGGGCTTGGTTTTATATGTTAAGCCAAAGAAATTTCTATAGTTCTAGGCTCACTGTAGATCCTCAAGAAGCAGTTTTTGGTGGAAGAAGCAATTAAAGCCTTTATTATGGTAAACTCACCACAGAAAGAGATTCCACTAAATAAACATTTATTGAGAGCCTGTTACAGGAGGCACTGACTATGCTGAGGGGAACTATGTGGTGCATATGGTTTGCACTTGACTGCTAAACTAAAATGTGGCTGTTCAAAACCAGCCACTGGTACCACCTTTCTTCCAGCCACTGGAAGAAAGGCCTGGTAATCTGCTTCTGTTCAGATTATAGACAAGAAAACCCTGTGGGGTAGTTCTTCCTTGGGAGTCTCAGTCAGAATTGACTTCATGGCAACAGGTTTTTTTAATTTTTTTTTTTTTGCTAGGCCAATCAACTCTAAAACCACCCTCACACTCCCTCTTTTCTGAGAAATTTGCTCTTATGGGATTTCTTAATATATGTACTCACGTGTTTAACACTCAGGCTCATTGATCACACACATTGAGAGCCCAGACATTCCCAAGTCCATAGTTCAGCAGTAGTAATAGGAAAATACATCTCGAAATATTAGCTAATACAGACTTTTGGAAACAAGTGTTTACTAAGATCCTGTTAAGTCTAAAAGATTCCTGTATACTAATGGAGGAAGTAGGAAATAATGTCCCGACTGACTTATCATCTAGTTAGGGGATAAGCTACAAATAAAAAGTTAAACATGAAGATATTTTAAAAACTAATGTGGCAGGGCCATAGAAGAGCTAGGGAAGCATGTATATCTCTAAACAAAGAGATGGACATTGACTGCTGTGGGATTTCAGACGAATGGGCTGGGCTGGTTGGTGAAGCCCTTGTGGAAAGATGAGATGTGAGAAGAACCTTGAAGGACAATTATGCTTTAGAGAAACAAAAAGTAAGAGGAAGAACATTCCATGGTATGAATGAAAAACTTGGAGAGATGAAAGCCAAATCTGGTTAGGGCACAGTGAGGAAAATTCTTTAGTCAAAGCAGAGTTCATCAACCAGAGTAATAAGGGGATGTTAGAAAGGTAGGTGGCAGAATAGGCTACAAAACATTAGGATACTGGGTAAGTGTGCATCCTATCTATAAGTTAGCAATTTCCAAACTTTGATTATATACCTCTATCAGTGAACACAGGGAGCTCTGGTAGCATAGTGGCTAAGATACTTGCCTGCTAACCAGACGGCTGGTGGTTCAAACCCACCAGCCACTCCTCGGAAGGAAGGTTGGGCAATCTACTTCCGTAGTGATACCGCCTCAGAAACCCACGGAGGGGTCGCTATGAGTTGGGTCCAACTTGATGGCAAACAACAACAACAACAATAATCAGTGAACACAATTTTGGTCACACACTCCCAAAACATGTGACATGTATACCTGTGTACATTATCACTTTGCCCATAATGAAATATAAAACCAGACACTTAAAAATGATAAGACAAAGAGATTCTAATATTTTCTTCTTGTGCCCCAATAAACTGTTCTGTGTACCTGATGGCACCCTACACATTGGAGACCATTGCTCACAGGCAATAAGCAGGCAGTAAGCTTCTCTACCCAGAGGTGAAGCAACAGAAACAGTGCTTGTGGGCACTGATCAGAAGAGTGAGGTGTGGGAGCAGATTGAGGCCGGCAAAGATCAAGCAACAGCTACTGCAAGAGTTCAGGCACAAGGTCAGGTTCCAGGTACAGGTGGTGAAAGAGAAAACACACAAGGATGATTTTGAGAAAACATTTTAAAGCGTGTTTGGAAAATGAAGAGGGTGTGTGGGTCAGTGTGTAGAGAAAGAGAGAGCAAGGGAGGAGTCAACAGAGAGGATATCCTTTGAAATGTTAATGCAGTGCTCAAGAGAGCACTCAACTCCCACCAGCAGGAAAGTGAGAGATGGCAGGCAAATGAACAACCTTCACCAGTGTGACAGTAGTGACTTCAAAACCTCAGCTATTCTTTTCTTTTTACTTAGAAAGGGAAATTTAGAAGGAAATGAAGAAAATCATACATGTGAAATCTCATTTGTACACTAGAAGCTGGGATATTCATAAAGTGAGTCATTGTAATCAAAATTATTATCCAGGAAGCTTTCCACAGAGTGTCCATCATTTCTTTCTAATCCCTGGGCCAAGCGGAGAAGGGTTTAAATGATGCTGATTGAAATATTGGGGTTCCCAAAGACTGGTGAAAGCATAGACATTATCCTAACGAAAATTACAGAATGAACAAACAAACAGAGAGACATGCATGAGAGTTAAGGAAAGGAAAAAATGTTTCAAATTGTCATCCTACAGGGATATACTTAAATGTAAAAACATGGACATAGAAGAGGAGCTCTATCCAAATGAATAATCAAAAAGAAGTTCTTTCACCACCATTATGCAGAAATCCCAAGCCAGCTCAGACTCAGCCCTGCCCTCTGATTGGTCTGTTGAGACAGCCACAGGCCAGACCAGTTTTCAGTGGCTTGTGTTCAGTTTTTCCCAGGGATGAGGATACGTACCAGCTTCCTTAATTTCTTGTGGTGAGGTATCCACACACTTTTGTTCATTCTTTATTGTAATCAGCAGTGTAGTTTTACAAGACTTTGCAAGCCAGAAGTTTATCTATCTGAGGTCTCTGAATAAAATTACCTGGTGCTTTCAAGGATGCAGTCTACATTCTGTGTCTCTGCAGCACAGTGCACTAGCTTCAGAGCTGACCAGAGAAACATAAGTCACTGTTCAAATGCCACTTGTCTGTAGGCCAGGGGACTAGGCTTGCAGTGAGTGCTATTTTATCTTTGATACTTTTCACCTTAATCAATGTCACAACCTCAGAAAGGTCTGTTAATTTCTCCCTGCCCACTCCCAAACAAAGCCAAAGGGGATGCGGGGGCACCGCTTTTTAGAAACTATCATTAGCTGGAAACAATCCTATATGAGGTGATGTGCAAAGGAGAACATGACAGAGAGATGCCAGGCCTGGGAGCCACATGGAGGAGACACACAGAACCGCCTCCAGGACCTCCACTTACCAGCTTGCTTTTGACCAACTTTTCTATTGCACTGACAAGGTCTGCAGCAGTAGGTACTTCAGTGGAGGCCTGCCGGGCTGCTAGCAAAGAGGAGGACTGCAAGACATCAGGCAGCAAAGGAAAAGCAGGTTAGCGAGGAATGAGGAACAGCAATTAGGAAGCAAAACAAAAAGTTCAAGACAGATAAGGGGAGAAAAGCTGCATGTTTATAGGGAAGAGATGACAGAAGGAGATGGGGGTAGTGTGGGTGTGTGACAGGCTTGCCTGACCCCTTGACAGGTATCCTGGCCAACAGCAAAGCATGGGCGGGATAGGCTTTTTTTAGTCTGGCCTCTAGAGGAGCTGAAGGGAGGAGTTGCTGAGTTCCCCAGAGGCCAACAGGTTAGGTAGGGCTACATGACTGCCTTGAGGGCAGACAGACTTTGGCAGCTACAGGATGGTCCAGTGCTGTTCAACAGACTATAAATGTCAGTAAACCTAGTCTTAAGTATGTCCAGGGAACTCTGGTGGTGTAGTGCCTAAGGCATTTGACTGCTAACCAGAAGGCTGCATACAAGAAGTATGTCCGAGGAGGAGAAGGGGTCCTTGTTTTACTGTAGCCTTAGCTATATTCTTCACTGTGTGCCAAGCAAAAATGGTAGCTATAGAGGGCACTTATAGACCAACAAGAAACACATCCCCTCCTTCTCCATTTACACACACAAAAAAAGCATGCACATGCATGTGCATGCACACACACACCCCAGACCCCTCCACAAAATACACTGATTCTGGTAAACCACACCACTTGCTGTTGAGTCAAAGCAGTCAATGGAAACCCCATGGAGCAGCTTTTGGTAAGACTCTCCTGAACTGGAACACCAGGAAGTCATAGAGAGCGTTAGTAGGATGCACATCTCATGCTGGAGTGACAAGGGACTATCTTGGTTACAGTAAAGGGAAGCTCAAGTGAAGGGCCTGCCTCTGCTCTCCCTCCCCCTGCACAGTAATAAGGACTTGTCCATGTGGCTGTCAGTGGTTTAGGACTTCTGCCCACTGTGGAACTGTGCCTTTTTGTTGTTGTTGTTGTAGTTGTCTTCCTTTTCCTACCTGAGAAAAAATTTGGAGAAAATTATTAACCCTGCATGTGTGACATATCACAGCAGGAAGCAAGAGTGGTCCAAGGGGCCAGGATACATGCTCCTTTAGTCTGTTATGAAAATGACTGTGGGAGTAGAAAGTGAACGTCCTGACCTCGCTCTGACTTCAAGTTAGGGGAAGGTTTTCAACAAAGATTCTTCTTGTGGTCTAATCTAAACGTTACTTAAGGTCTTTTCTTCTGAGGCAAAAAAAAAAAAAAAAAAAAAAAATCAACTAAATGAAATTAAGGAAGATGTAACATAGAATGTATCCCCCTTCTATGTCCTCTTCTAGGGAATGCAGGAAAAGAGCTTAGGTCTGTTTGGAAATCTAAGTTATTATGTTTTTGACCTAGTATTCCTACTCCTGGGAAATTATTCCAAGAACAGAATTCAGAAGAACAAATGCTTGATATATAAAGTGGTCACAGTAGCAATAGTAACCAGAGTAAAAAAATTGGGAAAAAAACTAAGATGTTTGCAAACAGGGGCTGATCAAGGAAATTAATAGTCCATCAAATAAAGGAAATAGTCTCCAACAATAGTTATAAAGGTAAAATTAATAAGACTTTGAGAAATAGTAAATAAAACATATGTATACTATAATTGAGGAGCTCTTGTGGCATAGTGCCTAAGGCATTTGAGTGCTAACCAGAAGGCTGGTGATTCAAACCCACCAACCATTCCTAGGAAGGAAGGTTGGGCAATCTACTTCCATAGTGATAACTCCTTGGAAACCCAGGGAGGGGTCGCTATAAGTCAGATTTGATTTGAGGGTAGTGAGTTTCGTTTTGTTTTTTATATTATAATTGTAAAAGTAAAACACATGCATATAAACAAAGATTAGAAGGAAACATGGAGACTTGAAATAATCGTACAATAGTCAATGGATGAGCTTTAAAAAATTCCTTTTACATGACTGTCTTAATAAATTCAATTCTATTTGCTTGACACTCTGAGGCTCACTCCACTCCCAAATATTCTAGAAAGACAAATGTCTGGAAAAATCAAACCAGCACAGACTGAGGAGGGTTAATATGTCTACAAAGCTACTGTTGCCATCTGTCCTATTCCTGGCTAAAAAAAAGTCTACACAAAGTCTGAGGGTAAGTCTGTATGCTCAGTTAAAAATTATCCAGAAACAACATAACATCCTTTTCCCCAAAACAAGCCGTGTTTGACAGAACTAGAGGAGGAGGGCTCGTGACCCTTGCTTATCTTGTCAGCGGGCACCTCCATGGAGAGGGCTGTGTGGGATGGCAGATAATGTGACATGAGTGCCCTACCCCTTGCACACACTATCACTGTTTATAGAACATTTTACAAGGATAGGCTTCTGGGTCCACAAGCATTCTCATGCTCGCTCCTGAGAACAAGTGCTTCAAGGTGAAGCACGGGCATTTCTGCCCCTGGGAACTCAGGGTGGGCAAGATGCCAAGCTTCCTACTACTTTTCTTCCCAACTGTCCAGAGTCAGAGAGCTGGCCCTGGGGACCAGGGTCACCTACATCATCTTATGAGGGGCCTCACCTGTAAGCCTCTCATGCCTGAGTTACATGGAGTGGGGTGCAGGGACATCTTAATCATCGTCCTGTCCCTTGAATCTGTCCCTCTAGCCTAGCACAGAGAAAGATCTCAATTAATGTCTGTGGGTTAATGATTAAATGTGAAGAAAAAGAAACTTCTGTAGTGTCTGCACAAAGTACTTTGTGAATTATATCCTAGGCAATATTATGAAGGTTTCTTCCACGCCTACAAATGTTGGGACTATCACTTCAGAGGAGGCCGCTCACAACAAGGAAGTTGTTGCTGTTATGTGCCGTTGAGTCAATCCCAACTCATAGCGACCCCTCCTTGGGTTTCCGAGGCAGTATCACTATGGAAGTAGGATTGCCCAACCTTCCTTCCAAGGAGTGGCTGGTGGGTTT